TGCCTTGGGTGTGGTGGTCAGATTTACTGTTTTGGCCTCGAGCTCAGGTCACTGCTCTGTGCTTTTAGTTTGTCGTCACCACGCGGTGTGTGGGAAGGGAGCAGGAGATGCAAAGCATTCCGATTCCTGACGCCTTCTGAACTGCAGGTTTTGTGTCCTTGTGCTCGGTGTGTGAACGTGCTGGAATAAGAAAGCAACTGCGGCTTAGGTGTCTTCCTGCCTCTCACCCGGCTCTTTTCCTTCTGACAAATAAACCCCACGGTAGCGTAAGTGCAAAGGGACGCTGATCACAGGGAAAGCGTCAGAAGAAGCATCTGCGTGACGTGGCGCCGTATCTAACCTGCGTTGTGTTTGTAGATATCTTTCAGCCAGCAGCACACTGGAGGACTGGAATGAAAAACTAACTCAATCAGAAGCGTGAGTGTCTCAGCCTTCAGCATTAACACACGCTTAGCAGAGCTGCCACTAACGCTCTCTGCCCCTGCTCACAGCCCTCTCTCTTGACTAGATCTGTTTAAACTTTCTAGCTTTCACTTTTTTAACCTGACAAGTGCCTCTTGTGGGAGAGGGAGCTTTTCCTCTGGTCACCGAGTGATTTCATTGTGGTCCGAGCGATACTCTTCTCCAAGCAGAACGGGCTGAGCCCACACGCCGTAACTTCAGCTGTGGAGCTGTGGAATAGCCAGACCCACCTCTCCTTCCCCTCGCCATGCTCTGCAGGGAGCAGGAGCTTTTCCCTGTGCCGCTACCTGATGAGAACAGGTGGAGCTGTAGCGTCCAGGGTGGCTGTTCTGTCCCCTCGGGGCCCAAAATGGACTTGAGCAGCTTGCACCTCGCAGCTGCTTTACTCCAGCCGTTGCCTGGGAAGGGCTCCCTGCCATGTTCTTATCCCCATCTGGACTAGATGATGGAAGCTGACCTTCTCCCTGCATCTTTCCCGGGAATCCTTTACAGTGACGCAGTGGGAGCGGTTAGGTAGTGTCGTGGTTTCCTGAGCTGACTTAAGCCGTGGTGAGGTGGGTGTTAGGTAAATCAGCTTTTGCTGTTCTCTGGAGTGGGTAGGAAATGTAGTCGCTTGAGCTGGCAGTGTGTGAATAGAAGGTTTTCTTCATAAAGCAGGTGAAAGATGAGTGGAGATAAGGAGTATCAGAGAGGGCTTTGAAGTGTGCAGTCAACTTTGTGCTCTCTGTGTCTTTACAAGAAGGTGTAACTTGTCATTATTTCACTAAACAGAGTGAGCTTGGAGACAGCGGGACTGACTCCAGCGGTGTTTAATCAGAGTTCCACCCTGGGCGTGCCTGCTAGAACAGAAAACTTGTCCTATCTGTTTCCTTGGGCTGAATAAGCCCCTGAAATGTGGCAGAAGAGTGTTTTTGTAGAGCCCTTATGGCCACAGTAGCTGTGGCACACTAGTTTTCCTGCTTGCTTTGGCACTAGACGGAGTGACAGTTCACGCTAGCAAGGCAGATGCTGATTAAAACAGATGTGAGGGGGCTTAAAAAACAACTCCAGCAATGTTCCACAAAACAAATGGAATTTCTGCTTCCTTTGTCTGAAGCTCAGTAAATGTGAGGAGTCAAGTTCAAGAAATCCAAGGATGAGGTTTTACATTTTGGGTTTTTTTAATGCAAATGCATTCTCTTTCCTGTTGTTGTTTTGAGCTTCTCTGCGTTACAACTAACAAGCATCCTGAGTGAGCTGGGAATGAGCCTGACGCGTGACCTTACGGTGATTTTGTGACCCACTGAATTTCCTGGTGGCTGCTGTTCCCGGCGCAGAGCTTCCCTTGCCCTCTCAAGCAGTACCTAGGCCAGAAACCAGCCCCGTCTGCCCCTGGCTCCAGTTCTGTGGTAACCAGGATGCCAGATGGGTTAGAGGGTTGGTGCACTTAGCCAGACAGCACAGGCAGTGGTCGCTGAGTAGGAGCAAGTGTGAGGAAGCTGGTATCAATGGATAAAGGAGGATTTGAGGGTGCAGGTCTGTCAGGGTTATAGGAAGGGGATGCAGTGAAGTGTTGGAATACCACAGGATGAACGCTGCAGGGCAGGGATCACTTCTGCAGCCAAGTGCCTGTTCGTGGAGCGCAGTTTTAATCAGCGCTCGTATTCGTTACCCCCAGATTTGGATTATTCCATTGTGCTTTGTACTGGTGGAGGGAAGAAAGTGAGTGAATGTGATTTAAAAGCCGTGGTAGACCCGGCTGTGTCTCGTGCAGGAGAGCAGCTGTGACTTCTGGGTCAGGGCTGGGCGTAGTGAGGTTGCAATAAAGTCTTGTATAACCCGATCCCTGCTGTCGAGGATGCAGTTCCACACATGCCCGACGGCAGCTCTGGGTTGAAGCCGCTCCTCTCGGCTGCGCTTGCCTGGCTCTGCCTCCTGCGCCGCAGTGGCGGAGGTCTGTACATGTGTGGGAGCTGTGATGCAGGGCTAGATCTGAGCGACCTGAGCTGCCTGCTGCCTTTTTTTTTTTTCCTCTTCCAAGTTTATATTTCAGTGGGATGGTTGCCTTGCTCTAGATCGCTGTGTCAGCAGCGTTGTGCTGGCATCGTGACAGAGGACACTCGTGCTGAAGGAGCAGAGTGCTAGATCTTCTGTTCTCTCAAGAATACTGCTGTCAGGTGTGGAAAATACAGCTGGGAAACCTCTGCCTTTTATCTGCTGAGGCTAGACCTGGGCGTTTGCAGTGTGTGCACGGTGTGGTGGTGTCCTCAGAGTCCATAAAACATTCATCGCTGCTCTGGCGCAGGACTCAGCCGGGGAGGAGTCTGAGAGGAATCGAGATCCTCCTCCTCCAGCACAGCTTTGGCCCTGGGTTTGAGACGTGGTTATTGTGATAGGAGGGCACAGGTAAGAGTGAGCAGTGTTTGATGCCGAGCAGTTCGCTCCTAAATTGTCCTGATTAGGCTACTTCTTGCAAGAGGTGGCGCTGTGGAGAAGTAGGATGGAGACCTTGCTGTTGGGGTCTACTCAGCTGCTTCTGGAGTCACTGGATTCAAGAGGAATTGGTCTGAAAAACATGTGGGTTATAGGGATTTTCATTCAGGAGCAGGAAGAGGGAAGGTAAAGCTGGTTTGGTTGTGTACATTCTTGATTCAGAAATAACTTACCTTGGCCTTCAGGGAAATCCCAGCAAACCAGCATGTTGCAGTTCAGGGGCTGTCTCCCACGCGCTTTTCTGGGGAGGAGGAGGTGGAAACAAGTCAGCTGCCATCAGGGTGCTTCGGCCTTGGGAGCTCAGGCATGAGAGACCGTCAGGCTGTTTACAATGCCCTTCTCAACATCCTAGGCAGGCAAAAAAGTAATCTCAAGTCTAAATATTTGGAGTAAGAAAACATGGCTTAGATTTTTGAACTTGTTTTCCAGCCCGAGTTGTGTGTGGTGTTTTTTTTTGTGACTTGAAGGATGCCCTAAACTAGGTGTTAATTGCCAGCGGTGGAGTAGCCTGGGGAGGGTGAGTTATTGGAAGTGGTTCCAAGACTTTGCTCCCGAGATGCCTCGTCTGAGGGAAACAAAGATTCTCACGTGCTGGTCTTCTCCAGCTCCGGTACCAACTCCGCTGTAATCGGCTGACGAATAGAGCTGTCGGGCTTCTTAGGGATTGTGGTCGCTGGTAACTGATAGGAACCTTCTCTACCCTTTGATTTCTGAACAGCAAGCTGTAGAGAACGCGGATTCCTGCGTTTGTTCTCTGCTGTGACGCTGGTCCTGCCCCTTTCCTCCATAACCTAACGCTCCACCAGCCTGACTTCAAGGCCACAGGGATATTATGGGATCGGTTCCTACACTTATTTTCTCAAGGAGACCAAGCAGTAGTTGTAACTAGGATAGTTACAACCAGGATATGATGCTGTACTTTGGTTTCCACGTGGAAAATTGTTTTGGTTCGGGCTTTCTTTGCAAAGGTCCCTCAGGTTTGCCGTGAGGTCAGAACGGTGGAGTGAGTGTGTGGGAAGGTTAATCGTGCACGTGCTGCTCTCTGAGAAACCTCAGATCTTTGGGGGTAGGTGAGACTGGAAGGGGCTGTGTCAGTGAAGTCAGTGCAGCTCGCTAACCTTGCTGCTCTCCTTTAACACGGGTTCCTTTGTCAAAATGGGGAGTGGGATGCTATTGCTTTCAGATCCTACCCCTCAATTCAATTGCTGATGGGTTTTATTTCTCTTTAGTTATAAGAAGACCCAGGAAACCCTTTCCCAGGCGGGACAGAAGACTTCAGCAGCCCTTTCCAACGTAGGTTCCGTTATCAGC